AAAAAAAAGCCCCCCAAAAAAGGCGCGATAAAAAAAAAAAAAAAGCGTTGCATAAAATCGCACTTTACACGACAGCATGTGGGAGAATATATCATGTTGACGTCGCTACAACTCGACTTCGTACAACTCCACGTGGCTGCGCCTCGGCTTTGCGTCGACCTCGCATCGCATCGCCGCTTCTCCCCTCACAGGAGATGCTGCTTGAAATACTCGTAAATGGTGATCGCCGCGGAGACGTGCACGTTCAGCGAGCGAATGATGCCCTTGCCGGGAATTTCGATGCAGTGGTGAAGAAACAAAAGCACGGACGCAGGCAGGCCCTCCTTCTCATCCCCCAAAATCAAAATGGTCTTTTCAGGGAAGGCAAACTTGTTCAGGGGCACACTGCACTTAGTCTGCTCCAAACCCACAATGGCATATTTCTTTCTCTTATGCATTAAGTACTTCACCAAGTCTCCTTTTTTCAATTCTCCTATGTTCATCCATTTATTTGCCGTGGAAGATATTTTCTGAAATTGAATATCCTTCACAATATTAGCATTATGTAGGATCAATTTTTGTACTTTAAAAATTTCACAGGTTCTACACAGCCCAGCTAAATTGGGTACTTTATCGATTAGGGATGCTATGATAATTAATTTTTTTTTCGTCTTCGTTTTGGCTAGCTGATGGTAGGTCCTTCTGAATTCATTATTCACTTGAATGATGTCACTGATTGGGTCGAATTTCTGCTGGTAGTTGTTTCTGTTTTTGTGGAGCAGGCCTTCCAGGGGGGCTGCGTCTGGCGCGACTTCTACGGCCGCGTCTGCCACCGCTTCTACCTCCGCGTCTGCCCCCACTTCTACGCCCGCCACGTGCACTGTCGACTGGGCCTCCCGGCGCTGGCGCTCCAAATCCACGTTAAACATTATTGCGGACATCTCCTGCTGCACCGTCCTCCTCACCGTCTCGAGGAAGGTATACGAAGTCACCAACTCGTAATTCCTCAGCACATGCGCAAACGTGTGTGTGCTTTCCTCATTAACGTCCTCATCGAAGTAGTTATAAGAGTAGTTGCATGCAGGAAGGAGGATCCGGATGTCTTCAAAGGGGGTTGGGGTCCAATGGTGAAACTCGGCCTTCATCCTTTTTCGAATCCTTTTGCAGTCCTTATTATGTTTAATGTAGGAGTAGGTGCACTTGAAAAATGGGTCGACTAAAATTTCTTTCCTTCTCTTTACAAAGTAGTAGTAAGTGTACTGGGCGATGCTCCTGACCAGCGCCGCGTGGGAAGAACACAGACCCACGATTCGAGTGATCAACGCGACGAGGCACTTGCGCACGTACTCGGAGAAGAAGTAGCTGCGTCGCGGGGGGGCTATCCTCCCACCAGGGGGAGGCCTGCCCACTTCTACTTGCTTTCCCCCACGGGAAGTCGCCACTTCTATTCGGTTCCCCCCCGTGCGCCTGCCCAGCCGCGCGAGCTTCTGCTTGGACCTCTGCACATCCTGCACAATTTTGTCCTTGTCATGTTCGTTCCTCTTGACGATGTTGTTGATGATTCGTTTTATTTCCCTCGTGTCCTCTTTGCTGCGTCTCTTCTTCTTGTTCTTCCTCTTCCCCCCACCCGGGTGGGGAGCCTCCGTTTGTGTAGCGACCACTTGCTTGATCCTAAACTTGTCACTCGAGAGACACACACGAGCGAAGGATGGACTAACATACAATTCTTCAAAGGAGTAGAAACTGAATTTTGTCTTTAGTAAAATGTATGAACATATTATGAGCGTGCTTACGATTAGCTGTGTGTTCGTATTTCCATCAGCTAAATTTCTTCTTAAGTGTGGATAAAGCAAAACAAAGGAAGAAGAACTAATGGAGAGACAGAATAACTCCAAGTACTGGCGAGTGTTACTCAAGTGATCGTCGTGCAGCAGTTGGTTCGCCTTTTCAATGAGCAATTTCCTTTCTGTCTTCTTTAAATATTTGAAATATTTTGCCAGGCAACACAGGGCTTGTAGTCCCCTCAGCTGGATGTTGTGTCCACTGGAGGAGGGCAGTGGCGGGGACGAAGACAGGGACCCGGTTCGCAGGGCCCCAGAAGACGAGACGTTCTTGTTGCTTATGCGATTCATAATTTGAAGAAGCAGGCGCGCGTACAGCCTCCGAACGAGGGTCCTCCGTTTCTGTCTCTGCAGCCTGTCCCCCTCGAGCACCTCATCGCTTCTCTTGCAGGCGCTCTTACCACCATTGCCTTTTTTATCGCCCCCCTTACCGCT